GGAGGCGGAGGCGGAGGCGGAGGCGGAGGCGGAGGTGCGGAGGAGGAGGCGGAGGAGGAGGCGGAGGAAGAGGAAGAGCAGGGACCCGCCCCCCCCCCTCTGCCCGGTCAGCCCCGCGGACCCGCCGCACAGGGCCCACCTGCAGGCGCTGGCCGCCGAGGCCGGCGTCAGTGAGGGCAGCTTTCTGGCGAAGGAGGCTTGCCGCGCCGCCGCCCGCCGCCCGCCGCCCGCCGGGAGGCCGAGGGCCGAAGCCGGCAGGTCGAGATCCCGAAGGGCTGGACGACGTGTCGCCAGATCTCGCCAATTTGCTTGTGGTCGGATGGGGTCAGGACGAGGACGAATCCGTTCCACAGCGTTCCGGAGCGCTCTCAGAGCGTTCTGGAGCGCTCTGAGGAGGCCGCGGCGCCCGAGACGTCCTCCCGAGCCACCAGATCTCAGAGATTCCCGATGCATCCCGCCCGAAATCATCCTCGTCCTGGCTTCGTCATGTTGACGACGTTTCGCGAGATTTTGCCAATCGACGTGCGAGGATCGAACGAACAAGTGAAGCAGCCACACGCCAAATGCGCGTGGGCAAAGGTTCTAGGCCTCCGAGATGGGGTCCGAGTAGATGGGGTCGGAGGATGGCGCCGCATCGCCGATGCATCGGCGATGCGGCTGGATGTGGAGCACGTGCTTCCCCACGCGACGTCGCGGATGCATCGCCGACGTCGCCGATGCATCGCTGATTCATCCTCGATGTATCGCCGATGCATCGGCGATGCGGCGGGATCCTCCGACCCCATCTACTCGGATCCCATCTGGGAGGCTTCTAAAGGAGAATGGAGCCGCACGCCAAATTCGCGTTCAGCAGCAGCCGACTGCACACGCCAAACGCGTGCAAGAGTGGCCTGGACGCGCCAAGTGCGCGCCGAGAGGACGGAGGAAGAGGAGGAGAAGGAGGAGGAGGAGGAGGAGGAGGAGGAGGAGGAGGAGAGGGGGAGGACTTCTGGGGATCAAGCTGGTTAATTCAAGGCAGATGACGACACATCGAGGTCAATCCAGGTGCATCCGGGTAGAGCCCGAGATCTCCAGGGGAACGCGAAGCAGATTGTGGCCGCTGCAGCGCGGGCCGAGGGATGGCGGGAGTCGTCAAGCCCTTGGCACGACGAGGGGCAGGAGGACGCGCCGGCCGTCGCCTCCCTCCTCCTTCTGCCAGGTGGAGGGCGGGGAGGACGGGCGTCGGGCGTCACAAGTGATGGGGGCCGCCCACCGCCTGGCGCGACCAACACACTTTCGGGGATGTTTTTCTGCAGCCTCGTGAAGCCGAGGTCTCGGAAGGGGGGCAGGGCTCGAGGTTCGGGTTTCGAGGTCCGAGGTTTTCGGGCCGGCTCGTCTGCTCTCGGTGGCCTTCCGGCCTCTGGGTGCGCACTGGCAGCTGCGCCTCGCGCCGTGAGCGTTCCCGGGGGGCCCAGCTCGTCCCGCGCGGCCGCCGGAGGGCCGAGTCTAGGGGGCCGCATGCGACCCCTGCCCGCCCCCCCCCCCGTTGCTGAGGGGGAGGGTGGGGTTCGCTTCGCTCGGGAGCCCCCGAGAGCAGTGAGCCCCACCCTCCCCCTTCAGAAATGGTTGGGGGGAGGAGGGGGCAGGGCTCGCATGTGGCCCCCTGGGAGTCAGCACGGCCCGAGCGCCAGAGTGCAGCGCTACTGGGGTCGAAGGTCGCGGGGGATCCCACTAACAAAGGGGCTGGCGAAGGAGGCGCCGCTCCGCCCGCCGCTCGCCGCTCGAGGGGTCGGGGGTCGACGAGCGAGGAGGCCCCCTAGGGTCAGCGGAGGGGGCGGAGGAGGAGGAGGCGGAGGAGGAGGAGGAGGAGGGGGAGGGGGAGGAGAGAGGAGGAGGAGGAGGAGAGAGGAGGAGGAGGAGGAGGAGGAGGAGGAGGAGGAGGAGGAGGAGGAGGAGGAGGAGGAGGAGGGAGGAGGAGGAGGAGGAGGAGGAGGAGGAGGAGGAGGAGGAGGAGGAGGAGGAGGAGGAGGAGGAGGAGGAGGAGGAGGAGGGGAGGAGGAGGAGGAGGAGGATGAGGAGGAGGAGGAGGAGGAGGAGGAGGAGGGGAGGAGGAGGAGGAGGAGGAGGAGGAGAGGAGGGGGAGGAGGAGGAGGAGGAGGAGGAGGAGGAGGAGGAGGAGGAGGAGGAGGAGGAGGACGAGGGGGAGGAGGAGGAGGAGAGGAGGAGGAGGAGGAGGAGGAGGAGGAGGAGGAGGAGGAGGGGAGGCGGAGGAGGGGGAGGAGGGGGAGGAGGAGGAGGGGGAGGAGGAGGAGGAGGAGGATCAGGCTGAGAACGCGGAGGAGAAGGTAGCGATGCCTCTGCCAATGCCTGGTGCTCACCCTCTTGAGCCTCCTGGGATGCCTTCGTCGCCGTGGTTGGATCCGCCTCGAGGTCCAGGTCAGACGGCACCCTGGTAGAGGTCCTGGGAGTAGCGGCATCGGGATCTTCTTGTCCCAAGAGGGGGGTCCACAGGATGTGGCGACTGCTCTGCAATCGACTTGCATGGTTCAGGCCAGACTAGTCGAGGTGAGTCCAGATAGGCCGAGGTAGATCCAGATAGGTCGAGGGAGGTCCGGAGATCACCAGGGGCCCCTGGAGCAAATCGTTGACCTTCCGCTCTCTTGTTGTTTTTGCCGAGGAGGCGCCAACATGGATTCAGGCGCGTGAGCTACTGGCGGGTGCCGCTTCCGTGTAGGATCGGCGCGCTCCGTCGCCGGTTCGGGCGGCATTGGCTTCGTGCTCCACGCGCCGTATCCACGGATCCGAAATTTATGTCAGTGTGCGCCCGAATATGGTCGGAGGAGGATGGGAGGACGGGCGGAGGCGGAGGAGGAGGAGGAGAAGGGCCCAGGATCGATGTGGCCAGATGTAGCCCGAGGTGCAGCAACGATGCAGCAGTGCACCCTCCGGTCCTGGGTCCCCCTCGTCAGGCGTCCCGACAGGCCTTTCCACTCACGGGGAGACCCCCCTTTGGGCAGACGAGCGTCCCGTGCGCCTGCCATGCGGCCGAGGCCCCGCTTTGCAGTGGACCCGTTGAGCGGCATGGCCATCCGTGCAAGGACGGGTCCGGCGATGGCTCTGGTTTGCAAATTGTTTGCCATTCACCCGTGTAAGCGTTGTACAAAACAAACGCAGCGCGTTGTCAATCCACAACGCAAACAATAGAAAAAAGGAGTCGCCCTCAACTCGAACTTTGGATTATTCATTCCAAGGAAGTCCCTGGCGGGAGCACAATTCTGACAGAACCGCCGTCCAGTCCACAATCTTTGCGAGCTTTTCAGACAAATGTGAGCGGCGCGAAGGCGAGAGCTCCGTTGTGAAAATTACCTGTGCTCCATCCCTGGGGCTGTTCTTACTTGGGAAAAATAGCGTCTGTTCGCGGAGCCAAGGCGAGATCCACATTTGAACCGATGAGTACGCCATCCGTGGAGTCCTTACTAGGAAGAGGTGAAGTGTGTTGCTGATTGCTGCTGTTTGTTACACGAGTGCGCGGCGCTAAAGGCGCGGCGCCAAAGGCGCAGCGCCGAATGCGAGAGCCCCATTCATAAGCACACCGCTATCAATCCGTGTAGCTGGCTGGGCAATTTCAAGCTTCGATCTTATACTTTGTGAGTTTGTTACAGTTGCAGGGGCTGGTACGCCCGAACGCCACGCCATGTGATGCGACAGGCAGGAGTACTCCACATTGCCGTCGCGCAAGTTTTCATCATTCCAGGTTCGCAATGACTGCGAGTCGGCGGAGTTGGCGTTTCAGGTGGAGTAGTATATTTTCCATGCGGAAGCGTCCCGCGCGATGAACTGTACAATTCGCCGCGGAGTAGTTTGAGGTCTTTTGTTTGGACCAGCGAATTAAACACCATACGGGGACCAACCTTACTCCGCCGAGCGCCGCCAGCTGTATGTCATGTTCGGATAATTGGGAGGGATGAGATAGTCATCGATCAGATAAGTACCATTGAACTTTTGTCACGGTGGTGTATAAGGAAGAGTGGCGGAGGAAGAGGAGGAGGAGGAGGAGGAGGAGGAGGGGGAGCAGGAAAAGGAGGAGGAGGAGGAACAGGAGGAGAAGGAGAAAGAGGAGGAGGAGGAGCAGCAGGAGAAGGAGGAAGAGAAGGAGGATGAGGAGGAGGAGAAGCAGAAGGAGAAGGAGGAGGAGGTCGAGGAGGAGGGGGAGGAGGAGGAGGAGGAGGATGATATTCGGCCTCTAGAGTGCTGTTTCGGACGCCCGGGCCCTTTAGGATGGAAAAGCTACTTTAATAGACCCCAGGTGGGGTCCATGGTGAATTTTTGAGCGAGAAGGAGGGGGAAGGAATGAAAAGGCCTTCTCCTTCCTCCTGCTGCTCGTCTCCTCCTTCATCCTCCATCCTCCATTCTCCATCCTCCATCTCCTCCTTCTCCTTCTCCTCCTCCTCCTCCTCCTCGTCTTCCTGCGGCGGCCTTCGATCGGTCGCAGCGCTCGGGGAAGAGCCAGGACGATTCCTCCGCGGCGCACGCGCCACCACCTGGGGTTCCAGCGGCCTGGCCGACGATGTCGGATCTGGGACTGGTGCGCGTGCCGCTGCTCTCCCCCCTCATCCTTCTCCTCCTCCGTTTCCGCCTTCCGCTTCCGCCCTCGTTTCCGCCCCCGTTTCCTCGGCCTTCTCCTTCTCCTCGGCCTCCTCCTCCTCCTCCTCCTCCTCCTCCTCCTCCTCCTTCTCTCCTCCTACGTTTTTGTCCTCCGGCTCTTCGGCCTCCTCCGCTTCCTTCCCTCCGTTGCCTCCTCCGTTGCCTCCTCGGCTTCCTTGCCCTCTTCCGTCCTCCTGCTTCCCCGCTTCGCCCTCCTCCTCCGTCCTGCCACCGCCACTCCCCTCCTCGAGGCCTCGATCGGCGCGCCTCGGCCCCCTGGGCCTCGATGCTTCAGGGCCTCGAGGGCCCTCGGGGCCCGCGCCCCCCTCCGAGGCCCCAGTCCGTCGCAGCTCCGAGGCCGCGATTGGCCCGAGGAGGCGCCGCGATGGCGGGCGGCCCCGCGGCGGGCTGGTCGCCGTCGGGCGCGCTGCCGGGGCAGCCGGAGGAGGAGGCGGAGCCAGGCCTCGCTGCCCAGAGGAGGAGGAGGAGGAGGAGGAGGAGGAGGAGGAGGAGGAGGAGGAGGAGGAGGAGGCGGAGAAGGAGGAGGAGGAGGAGGAGGAGGAGGAGGAGGAGGTGCCGATCTCGTTGCCGATGCCCTTCCTTGGGCGGGTGGCAGTGGGGGGGTGCTCCAATCGGGGGGTGCAGAGAAGGACCCTGCAGGGACTCTGTGAGCTCTTTTTTCTACACCCCGCAACCCCAATTACCACCCGCCCGACTTTTCCTATTCTCGCCCTTCTGGGCTTCCTGGGAGGGCCTCGTTGCCACTGCCGGATGCGCCTCGAAGTTCTGGTCGGCACGCGCGCCGGGAGAGGTCCAGGGCCTAGCGGTATCGGCAATATTCGTGGGCGAAAAGCATATCCGTATCCGCTGCCTCGCAGGCTGGGCCCCAGGGCGATGACTTCGCGGATGCGGCACGTTTTTCCGCGGATGCTCCGCGCGGAACCCATCCGTGCGACCGCATGTCTGTGGGGTGGTGTTTGGGAATTTAGACCGCGAGGGCGTGGATATGGATACGTTCGCCGCTCGTGAAATATCTGGTGGTTTCCCCACCATGCCCGTGCCGTCTGCGGCGGCGCCGTCGGCGACTCGAGTCGTCGATGCCGCCCGCGTCGTCGCCGGCTGCTCCTTTGGGCAGCCGGAGGGGTCGTGACCCGGCTTCGTGGGCGGCCGCTTTCGCTCGCCAACCTCGGTTCCGAGGTCGCTGGGAGGAGGGGGAGGAGGGTCGCCTCCACCTCTCTCTTGTCGTTGTCCTCCTCCTCCTCCTCCTCCTCCTCCTCCGCCTCCTCCTCCTTGGAGAAAGACGATGTGTGCATACAGATCTATGTATACATATATTTACACAAATATATTGAGAGAGAGAGGGAGAGTAATGTCAGCTTGTGGTTAAGAAATGAGTATCCCCCCCTGGGGCTGATGAGTCGGCCCGGCGGGGCGCGGAACATGTTTTTCAATCGCGCACGCCAGGGGGTCGTCGCGGGTGCAGCCGAGAGGGTGGTGTCCCCCCTGCGTGACAGCCTCAAAACGGTCGCCTGTCGTGTAGAAGTTGCTACAGGGGTCGTGCACGTCCGAGGCGAACTTTTGGTTACCCTTTCAGGCGTAGTCGTCGTCGTCGTCGTCGTCGTCGTCGTCGTCGTCGTCGTTGTCGTTGTCGTCGTCGTCGTCGCCGCCGTCGTCGTCGTCGTCGTCGTCGTCGTCGTCTTCTTCTCCTTTGTCGTCGTCGTCGTCGTTGTCTTCTTCGTCGTCGTCTACAGCGGGCCTGCGCAGCCCCACCCCCGTTGGGCATCCGCAGTGCGTCGTCGCGTCGTCGCCGTCGCCGTCGCCGTCGCCGTCGCCGTCGCCGTCGCCGTCGTCGTCGTCGTCGTCGTCGTCGTCGTCGTCGTCGTCGTCGTCGTCGTCGTCGTCGTCGTCGTCGTCGTCGTCGTCTTCCTCGTCGTCGTCGTCGTCGTCGTCATGGTCGTCGTCGCCGTGTCGTCGTCGTCGTCGTCGTCGTCGTCGTCGTCGTGTCGTCGTCGTCGTCGTCGTCGTCGTCGTCGTCGTCGTCGTCGTCGTGTCGTCGTCGTCGTCGTCGTCGTCGTCGTCGTCGTCGTCGATGTCGTCGTAGACGCCGGACGAAAGGCTGGGGAAGGAAAGGGGGGGTTGCGAAACCTGCTGCGCGCAGCTGGTTTCGGCCGCCCCGCCGAGGGGCCAGGCGTCGACGCATGGCCGCTTTCGGCGCCAGGGGGCGCCCGGAGAATCAGCAAAATGAGCTGCTGGGCAGATCCCCGCTTGGCAACGCGCCCTGTTCGTCCAGCCCGCCTTGCTCGCGGGCCCGCGAGGCAGCTGGCGCCCTCCTGTCTGCGGCCAGGGCAAAAAAGAAGCAAACAGCACGGAAAATGCGGGGGCGAACGCCGACAGCAGTTCTTCTTCCTTTCGAACAGGTGTCGCCCTGGCTCACAGTCCCTGCTTCTGCCGCCTTTGCCTCCCGCCCCCCGTTCCTCCCAAAGTCTGTGCTGTCTGTCGCCTTCTCGCTGGCGGCTGGGCGTCGGCGCTAATCACCGGCGCCGCCGTTGTTGATTTTCAATTTGGCGGGCGCCACCCCGCGATGCGCCCGAGCAGGGGAACATGGTTTGTTTTAATCGCGCGCGCCCCCCACGGATTTGTTAATCACAGGATGGCACCAGTGGTGGGGAGTTTGCTTAGTTTGCGTTGTTTGGGCGTTGTTGCGACACGCACTCGCGACTCCGATTATATTTTGCGGTTGGGGGGGGCTGACAACCACTCTCTCGAAAGTGTCACAGGAGATGCTCGCAGGTTATTGTTATGGGGCGCAGGGTTCTCAAGCGGCGAGCAAACGCAACTTCAAGGTGCCCAATACTGTTTAGCAGTTTGATCTTGTTTTTGAGTTTTGATTCGTGCGGCCGTCCCCCAAGCGTGTATGCCGACCCCAGTGGCAGACTGGGGCCCGCGCCTTCACCCACAGCGCCCGCAGTGGGCAAGATTTTGTAAGCCGCCTCCCGAGGCCATTCAGGTGCCAACTTTTTACTGGTGGATGCTGCGTGGCATCGACCGTCGGCGCCCTAGAGTCGTTCCGTCTTGTTCGCCTCTTCTTATTTCGGAGCGGGTTTCACATGTTGTTCCCAACAGTCCTGTGTTGAGTTGGGTCCTCGTTTTGGATACGCATCGCCTTTCGTCGTCGTCGTCTTCCTCCTCCTCCTTCTCCACCTCACCTCCTTTCCTGGCTCTCCTTGCCTGTGCCTTCCGCGTTTGTCCCACGTCGGCACATCCATCGGACGCTTCGTGGCCCCATAGGGAGCTCCACCGAAAGCCTCAGTGACTGGGGTCCGCGTGCCTACCCGCAGCTCATGTCGGCGTACCGCTCACACGTCTTGTGGCCTCATGGGGTGCTCCACCGACCGCCCCAGTGGCATGGTCCGCATGGCGCCCCGAAGCCCATTTTGGAAACCCCAAACAATCATTACATTGTTTTTGTTCTGGCACTGCTGGGGGCCATATTGAGGCCCTCTCGGACCGTGTTGAGGGGTGGTTTGAACCATCTCGAAGTTAAATTGAGCCGTCTTGGGGCCATCGGTGTCCGTCTTGGAGGCATATTTGGCCATCTTGGCTTCCTCGGTTGCCAGCCTCCGCCGTGTTGGAAGCCTGGGAACGCGAATCGTTTTGTGTCCGAACGGTCGTGGCCTCGGGAACACGGACGCAGAGTGTTTACACACGGATTTGGCCTCTGGAGCGCGGATCCATGTGTTATGTTTGGGTTTGTGGCTTCGGGAGCACGGGTCTGGTACTTGTTAACGACGGAAGTGCTTGTTAACGGATCTATTCTTTTTCTAATGGGAAACTGGGAACAGGGGGGTTGTCTCTATCGGGTAATGCAGAAGCCCTGCCTGACAGCCCTTGAAGGACGCGTGGTAGTTGCAGGCAAGGCAATGTGGGACATGGGGAGAAAGGGGGAGGTTGAAACGGGGGCAAAGGAGGGGCGGGGCGAGGTGGCGGAGTAGGAGGGGAGGAAATGGATAATAGGGAAGCGACAAGGCGGAGAAAAGACCGAAGGCCGTTGGTGATGAGAGGGTGACGGGTGAATGTCTAGTTCTCACAGCTGGGAACGCCCAGTGGATGATCAGACATTGTTGTCGCTCCCGTTTCCCAGGTGTACAACTCTTCTCTCCCACCGAAGGAGGTGAAGCGTAAACGAGTTGGGCGGGGGCCAAGTTGCGGGGAGGTCAAAACGCACTTACCACGACGGAAGCGAGCACGTTACCCAAGACCGTCATCGTCGTCGTCGTTGTCATCCTCCTCCTCCTCCTCCTCTTCCCTCCTCCTCCCCGCTTCCACCCCCCCCCGCCTCGTCCTACCCTCTGCTGTGTGCATGCCCTTGGCCATGAGCCTGCCCCGGCTCCTGCCCACCCGCCCCTGCCCCAGCCGCTGCTTCCAACTAGCCGGGGCATCCTCAGATTTGTTTGTTGTGTGTGTGTGTGTGTGCGCGTGTGGTTTTTATTACCATCCGCGGCCCCGACACCTTCCGTGGGGATTGTTTTCCGCCCTGGATTAGTGCCCATTCTCCCTCCTCCTCGTCCTCCTCCTCGTCTTCCCCCCCCTGCCCGAGTGCCGAGTCCGAGACCGCTGTAATTTCGGGCCTTCGGCATTGCGAAGGTTCGTCGCGCCTCATCCCCCTCGGCTTTCCTCCTTTTCCTGCCAATGAAGCGCGCGGAAGCACAGAGCTGGTGATGGCCTCCAGGGCCCGACGACGGGCCCTGGAGGCCGAACCCGAGGAAAAACGAGTTGGGACTCGAGAGGTCAGCTCGTCCGAGGCCTGAGCTCGCCGCGTGGGAGGGGCGACGCTCGGAGCAGCCCCGCGGGGGTCGGCGGGACCGAACAGCCGAGTCACCCTCGGAGCTCCGTGATCTCTGGGGAAGTCAAACGGTGTACCGATGCCGCTATTCCCCGGGCCTCTCCCGCGGTGCGCTCTGGCCAGCACTTCGAGGCGACTCCAGCGGTGGCGACGAGGGCCTCCCAGGAGGCCCAGACAAGGGAAAGCGGGCGAAGGGTAGATGTATGGGTACCTTTTCCTCCTGTGGATCTCGCCCTGTGCCGGTGCCAGGCCCACGCCTCCACCACGCACCCCCGCTGGCGCAGCGCGCATCGCAGGAGGCCGAACCCCTGCGCAGGGCTGGCGCCGACGCGGCCGAGCCCGCGGCGGGCGGCTCGCCGCCCCCTGCCGCCGTCCGCGCCGAGCTGCTCGGCCCAGGGGTCGCCGGGCCGAGGAGCTGCTCACCTTCCGCAGGCGCCAGGCTCTGGGCCTCCCAGATCAGGTCGGAGCAGATGGGGTCGGAGGATCGCGCCGCATCGCCGATGCATCGGCGATACATCGCCGATGCGGCTCGATGTGGGGCCCACTTTTCTTCACGCCAGCGTCGCCGATGCATCGCCGACGTCGCCAGTGCATCGCCGGTGCATCGGCGAGGTATCGCCGATGTACTGGCGATGCGGCGCGATCCTCCGACTCCATCTGCTCCGACCCCATCGGGGAGGCCTCTACAGGCCCAGCGGGGCCAGCTTTTCGGTGGGCACGAGCCCCGTCGCGGCCGGTCGGCAGCGGCGGCGTACGCGCGAGTGCACTGACACGGGCGGCGCCTCGCCAGAGTGCTGCCAGAGCGAGCATGGCACTTTACAGGTCGGGGGAGGGAATGAGGTGCCTGATGCCGCTGCCGTTCCCTCGTGTTCGCCTTCCTGGGCCTCGTCGCTGCAACTGGATTCGCATCGAAGTTCTGGTCCGAGCGCGCCCTGGGAGAGGTCGGGGGAACAGCTGTATTGCTACCTTTTTGGGTTTACCCAGCAGGTCAGCCCGCGCTGCACCTGCGTGTGTCCGAATGGTCCAACCTGCTCGTTCGACACGGTGTCCGCTCGTTCGTTCAGCAAGAGCAGGGCCCATCCTCAGACTCTGTCGAGTGGCCAACAGGTTCGACTAGACGTGAGAGTGACCTTTCGCTGGAGTGACCTTTGGTGCGCCCATGGGAGCCCTCCAATCGCCGAACGCGCTGCGATAGCAGCGCCTTGCGCGCTTGAGTTTGACCCCCTCGCGCCCCGATTTTGGCCCCCTCGCGCCCCCCCAAAGCCGCGCACCAAAGGTCACTCCTTACCCAGGGTCACTCTTGCGTGTAGCCGACAGGTGTGGCCCGATCGCTGGGGAACCACCCGGGCCCAGCTGGAGCAGCTTCTGGACACCGCTCTCAGCGACCCCAGGTGGGAGCACTCCAACATGTACGAGTTCGTGGAGGGCTTCATCAAGCCCAAGACGGCAGGGAAGGGCGTGGGGTACGCTCTCCTCGTGAACGGGACAAAGCCCAAGGAGGTGAACGTCATGGTCTCGCACGCGTGGCAGGAGAATACCGTTGAGTTCCTCAAGGCCGTGATACGATCCACGCGCGAGGAGGACGTGATGTTTATCTGCGCCCTCTCGCTCTACCAGAACGAGGATGGCGAAGGGCCGAGTATCGAGCAGCAGATTGGGGACGAGAGCCAGCAGAACCCGTTCAAGCGGGTCCTCCTGCTGATCTACAGGCGCGGGAACGCGTGCAGCTTCCTCAGCTGGCTGCGGTACCGGTACGCGTCGGCCTTGCGGGGGCTGCCGCAGGTCCTGGCGTTGATGGGGCTGCAGCTGCTGTACCTCCCCGCGTGGCACGGCGGCTGCCTGAGCTCCTTCCGGTACTGCTACACGAAGGAGGAGACGAACATGTTCATCTGGAGCCCGGCCAACCGCTGGGCGCACCGCGCGCTCCCCGCTGGCTACACGCTCGCCGTGTGGAGCGCCTGCCTGTGCTTTCTTCTGTCGGGGGCAGTGCGCGTCTGGTTGGCCTGCCACCACGGGTACAGCGGCAGGATGATCGTGGTCCCGAACTCCAGCTGCGAGATTTACACCAGGCTGTGGTGCGTGTACGAGATGTTCGAGGCGCCGTTGGCTGTTCTCCGAGCAGTGCTTGCACTTGGGGGTTCTTGCTTTGCTTACCCGAGGTGCTTTGGGTCTAGTTTCGGTGGGTCCCCGGCCAGCGGGCACCCGTGGGCGCCTCGTGGGCTCCTCGTGCGCAGCGGGCGCGCCGACGGTTCGCCGGGTGTTCGCCGGGGGGCTCCTCGTGAGCGCCAGGTGGGCGCCTTCGTGGGCGCCTCGCGCGCTGGGCGGGCGTGCCGAGCTATCGCATGATGCCCCGCCCGTGGGCGCCTTCGTGGGCGCCTCGCGCGCTGGGGCGGGCGTCCCGAGCTTTCGCCTGGTGCCCTTCCCGTGTGCGCCTCGTGGGCGCCTCGTGCGCTGGATGGGGCGTGCCGAGGTTTCGCCCGGTGCCCCGCCCGTGGCCGCCGGAGGGAGCCTCGTGGGCTCCTCGTACGCTGGGCGGCCGCATAGACTCGCCAGATACATTTTCCGACATAGCTTGCGCCACTTAGCCTAAGCTTTCAGAGATGACACCACATCGCTTGCACCACACAGCTTGCCTCACACCTATGGGGCCTCACAGCGTACACCACACAGCTTACACCACGTAGCTTGCGTCGCATAGTTTGTACCACATGCATTACACCACGTCAGAGTGAGGGGGCCAAACGGTTATTCACTGTCCCTGGGTACGTGGTTGAAGTGGAGTTCCGCGGCGCGGATTCTGCGTGTTTATTTGTTTGTTGTCGTCGTCCCACCCGCGACCCACACGCGACCCGCCCCGCGACCCGCCCGCGGCCCACCCCGCGATCCGCCCACGACCCACCCACACTGCTTTGACAAAAATATCGGCGTCCGCGGCGGGCTCGTTATGCAATGTGTTATTCAAAATCGCGCCTGCGGCAGGCTTCTTCAGAGCCTCGCAGACTGCCGACGACCCCGCCGACCCCTCACTCTGATCCGCAACTGCGGGGGGCTTGCACTGCAGAGCTTGCGCTGCAGAGCTTGCACCGCAGAGCTTGCACAGCACTCATTGCACCATATAGCTCGGGCTTCATAGCTTGCACAATTGAGCCTGCCAGTCCACAGTGCAGTAACTTCCTGTTTGGGGTTTCACGCTGGCAGGCAGGTTTTTTCCCATGCGTCCTGAAATATCTTGTGTCCGAGGCGAAGAGGCTTGGCATCCCGGTGAGGCAGGCGCACACGCTGGCGACGGTCGGGAATTGTCAGTCGCGGCACGCCACCTGCAAGGTGGAAGCTGACAAAACCCGGATACTGACGGAGATGGCGCAGAAGTGGGGGGACGAGACGTTCTCGCTCCTCGACAGTGCCATCTGGCGGATCTCGGCCTCGAACACCAAGTCCGAGGCCTCCGTCATCCTGGGCTGGGCGTCCGTGGTGCTGCTGCTGTCGGTCGCGCAGTTCCGCGTAAACGGCGAGTTCGCCGACTGCGCCGCGGAGAGGGTCCTTGGCACCTCCGTCGGCGTCGTCGCGGCCATGCTCGCCACCGTCCTGGCGTTCTACAGTGTGGCGAGGCGTGCCCAGGGCCAGCTCCAGCTGCGCTGCTGTGTGGCCACAGGCCTCGGCTTCCTCGCGGCAGGTCTCGCCTTCTGGCTCTGCAGGGAGGCCACAGCGGTGGAGCCAGCCACGTGCGGAATGCACGCCGTCCTGCAGCAGACCGTGGTGGCCCTCTTCAAGAGCCTGTTCTGCGCCTCCGGGCTGGTTCTCGGCTTCGCGGGGTACAGCCTGTGCTTTCCCAACAGGCGGGCTCTGGCCGAAGCATCGGCAGATCTCCTCGGGACTGTGGGTGATGCCAGCGGCGTTTTGGGGGAACGCATCCCTTTCAGCTGGACCTGGGGCCCCAGAGGGCTTTAAAACTTCGTGTTCCCCTCCGCCTGCGCATCACCGAAATTTGCCAACGCCGAACATATGGGTTTACATCGTTGCATATAGTCAATGTCTGTCTGCCTTCCTGCCTGCCTGCCTGCCTGTCGGTCTGTGCTGTCTGTCTGTCTGTCAGTCAGTCTGTCTGTCTATGTGTACATGTATGTAGGTGTGTATCTATTAATCATTACGTAACTATAAACAAGACATGCATCCAAAAGCATACCAGCGGTTACGCCTAGTGCTGAACTTAAGATGTCAAGGTTGAAGTGACAATTTTAAGACTGAAACAGAAACTACGTAAATCCACTACGTTACAACACTACGTGAGCACACTACGTAAACATACCACGCAGAAACAGTAGTGGAGTAGTAGGAGTAGTCGTAAGAGTAGTAGTAGGAGTAGGAGGAGTAGAAACAGGAGTAGTGGGAATAGTAGGAGTAGTGGGAGTATTCATAGGAGTGGTAGGAGTAGTCTTAGGAGGAGTCGGAGTAGTAAGAGTAGTAGTAGTAGTAGTAGTAGTAGTAGTAGTAGTAGTAGTAGTAGTAGTAGATGTGGTAGGAGTAGTAGGAATAGTCGTGGCAGGAGTAGGAATAGTAGTAGGAAGAGTAGCAGTAGTAGAAGGAGTAGCTGGGGTAGAAATAGTAGTCGTAGTCGTAGTCGTAGTCGTAGTCGTAGTAGTAGTAGTAGTAGTAGTAGTAGTAGTAGTAGTAGTAGTAGTAGTAGTAGTAGTGGTAGTGGTAGTAGTAGTAGTAGTCGTCGTAGTAGTAGTCGTAGTAGTAGTAATAGTCGTAGAAGTAATAGTAGTCGTAGTCGTAGTCGTAGTCGTAGAAGTAGTAATAGTAGTAGCTGTAGTAGTCGTAGTA